AATTTCAGCTCATCCTCCCAGGTCAGGTTTTCGGAGGAACCAGATTAGCTGCCATAGCTAAAGGGCTTTCCCTTCACGTGACAGAAGACATGGTTGATTTAGCCTGATTAAACTGCAGCATGTCTTGTGTTGCCATAATCTTTATCTCCCATGACATGCATGTATATATCTAAAGCGGGTGCATTTTCAGAGCCTACAGTTCGTTATCTGAAAGAAAGATAAATTTTTCTTCAATCTCCTAGTTCATTTCTTTCACACTCTTTTCATCTATTCCTTGCAGATTGACTTGCTCTGTGATGCAGCCAGGACTTTTGGGAGCAAGAACAGACATTTTTACAGAGATGGTTTGCATTCTGTTCTGTGCAAAATAAACATTATTTTGTTCCCATTCTGAACACGCGAGCTATTCGGATGATCATTTGCACCTTTGCAGATCTAGAAACTGCAGACAGCTGTCAGGTGCTGACGTTCCTTTGATAGGTGTCTAAATTTTGTCTGAAATTTCTTCTTTGAGGTCAGATGTTCAATTAACCCCTAAAAAACTGACCTCTTGAAAGTCAAACTGCATGCCAGGTTATAAGTGATTTCTGTACGCTAAGTTACCATTACTAACACCTTTAAAATTACCCCGTTTGAAATAGCTAGACATATCAACAAAGAATATAGGATTGTTTTTGTTTAGTCACCTCGATTTCTTTGACTTTTTTTCAATAACTGTAGAAAGTAGCTTCCAGTTGGCATATTGTATTTATTTTCTGTTACTACTATTGCAAATGGTCTCATAATTCATAACTTTAAAAATTCCACTGCCACACAATTCTATAGGTCAACTATATCACACAGATCTCACTATACAAAAAGTATTATACAGCTAATATATTATAGAGCTAATATAATCACTTCCTTTGTGTAGTCCTTCGTGGGACAATCCACTCTCTTGCCTTTCCAAATTCTAGAACCTGTATGTGCTTGTAAATCTTAGTTCTTGGCCCCCTTCTACTATCTTCAAGGCCAGCAAAGGAGTGTTCAGTTCCTCAAATTATATAATGTTGACCTGTTATCTTCCTGCACTTCCACTTTGAAAGGGTCTTGTTGTCATACTGAGTCCATAAAGATAATCATCCTACTTTAAGTTCAGCTGATTATGAAACTTTATTCCTTCTAAAACTCCAGTTTCTCTTTGATACGTAACTGAACACATTGTCAGATTTTAGGGATTAAAGACCTGGGAGTCTTTGCAGGCCCATTATTCTGCCTATTACACATATTTCTATACCTTTGTCATCTTTCTGTCTTGTTTGTTTGTTTGTTTGTTTGTTTGTTTGTTTGAGGGCCATAGCCAACAGTACTGGGATACTCCTGGCTTGTATGTCACTGTTGGCAATGCTGGGGGTTGGGGTGATGTGGGAGTGACAGTAGGTTGTAAAGGATCAAACCTGAGGACTCCCACTTGTAAGCCATGTGAAGTAATTCTTCGAGTCATCTCCCAAGCTCCCTAGGTTGGATCTGCTTTGAGTCAGAAACTGATGAACATTCTCTCAAATATATATATATATATATATATATTCTTAAAATATATATATATATATATTTGCTTCTTCATTTTATTTTCCTTGAACTTGAAGAGAATTTTTTTCATTTAGTTTTATTTTACCGAATCACCATGATTTATAAAGCTATCCATCATTGGATTTTAGACACAGTATGCTTCAGTCCCAAAGCCTCCACCAGTGTCTCCTCCTTCCACCAGGGTTTCCAGGTTTCCTCCCACTTACCCACTTCCTTCCCTAGACTGCCATCTTGACAGGCACAGAAAATATATAATATTAAATTTGTTAAAGTGTTACTTGACAATGTGGAGTGCAGTATTAGCGAGATGGCACAGGATAACATGGTCTTATTTTTATTTATTTTTTGAATGAGTGCAGGATTTTGCACTCATTCAGCTGGAGGTGCTCATAGGCTACCCCTGACTCTCTGCTCAGAAATCACTCTTGGCAGTGCTCGGGGGACCATATGCTGCATTAGAAATGATTCCAGGGTCACTCACATGTAAGGAATGCACATTAACCCTTGGATTACATCTCTGGCACCAAAATAATGTTTCTATTTTTAAAGTAAGCCTTTGCGCTACCAGATTATGAAAATAAAGAGATTTAAAACTACTAGGAATTTTTAAAAAAATAATCAAAATTAATGTTGAAAAAAAAGATCTAGGAGTTTTACTTATATTAACTTTCAGTACGAATAAACATGTCTCATTCTCTTTTATCCCATGATAGTCAGATTTAGCAGGAAGGCTTAGAATCTTAAATATTTTGTGGTTTAGTGTTGTGAGAAATACTTGATAGAACATCTATATTATAAAACATAAAATAAGATAAAAATACAGTAATAAAAAGTTTATGTCTGCTCTTTTTATGTAGAAACAGCTGGGTTAACGCTCTCCTGCAATGCCTAAGTTCTTTAAGCATTCTCTGATGTCATATTTGCATGATATGTTCACTCAGACTGTTTTCCTTAAGTTTCTATTTTATAAACATCCTGGGGCCAGAGTGATAGTACAACGGGTAAGGTGCTTGCCTTTCATGTGGATGACTCAGGGCTTACTTCTGTCACCACATATGCTCTTGTTCTGAGCACAGCCAATAACAAAGTAAATCAAAATACTAAAAACATATCTGTGTAAATCCATAAACATATTTGTGAATGAGTCACCTCTTTTCCTGGTGTTTGTGCCAGTATCTGGAGATACTGCTCAGTGCCTGTGCCTCTCTTGGTGGTTATGCAGTGCTGGGATTCCAACTCTGGTCTTTGGCGTTCAAAGCAAGCACTCAGTCTACTGAACTATTTCTGTGACTCCTTTAGTCATATTTTATGACTCACTTTCCTCATTTTCTATGTGCTGATAAGAATATCACAGGTTCAGATGAGAGTCAAATATGTAAATAAGTGAAAACACACAAAAAATGTAGAAGTCACTTTAATAATGGTGCATTTTTTCATATTTAATGTAAGAAAGGGCAGGCTAGACTAAGACTGAAATAGAATAGTAAATCTGGTAGCCAGAGGTTAAGTCACACCTGCTGACAAACTCTGAGTTCCATGACAGACTCACATAAGAATATAATTTTCTTTAAATGTAACTTTCATTTCTAACATGGTAATGATAAAATGACTGTTACTACGCCAAAAATGGCTAGAGAATAATGCATCTATGTAATCCATGAATTGTTTGCAATTCATGGTATTTTATATATCAAGAGTATTTTATAATTTCTGGTTAATACTTTATTCTACACAGTTTTTACTTGTGTCTCTATACTTGCATAATTCCAAAATTTTCAATGAATTGAGTGAATTGAATAGTCTTACTTAAATCTATCAATTTAATTCTCTGCATTAAGTATAATAAATATAATTTATTTTTATGTGATTATAAATTTTAAGAAAATCTTTAGTGCCTAATAAAAATCAATTGGCACTGTAAAACAGATTGATAGTGAGCTGGTAAAATGACTCTATGAACTTACTGCAACACATGCTTTGATGTGGGAAAATCAGGTCAATCCTCAGAACCACACAAGTCCCCCATGCATCACCAGGTGTGACTCGTTCCCACCGAAGAATAGATTGATAGTGAATTTCATTTGAATACGCCCCTCTCGGAGAGCCCGGCAAGCTACCGAGAGTATTCGATATACCAGACACAGTAACAACAAAGTCTCCAATGGAGACGTTACTGGGCCCGCTCGAGCAAATCGACGATCAACGGGAGGGCCTTTACCTTACCTTTACCTTTACCTTACTGATAATTACCCCTTAAGATTATTTCTAATAATTATCCCTTAGAAATTTTGTTGTTGTCAGTATGCATAAATGCATAATTGATATGGGAATGAATTAATCCATAGATGTGCAATTAATATTTTTTAATTTTATTTCCTTATTACTTAATTATATATATTTTACATTTTTAAATCACTCATTTTCAAACAGTGCAAATGAAAAATTACCTAAAGGGAGGGATGTACAAGGTATTGAGTCCTAAGTGAGAAAATGATCATGATCTAATATGTAATGGAAAAACAGAGTTTTTGAGAAATAAATAATTCAGAAATCACAGTGACATAATCAGTTTAGAAAATCAAGAAAATGCAATATGATTACTGTAAATGGAATTAAATGTTGCAGAGAGATCATAGAGTGACTAATTCTAGTTGAATTGATTCACAAGAAACTCTTTGGTAAACCTAAGCCATTTTGATGAGTAAGCAAAGAAAAAGTCCATAATCCCTTAAAAAGTTTTAGGGAAGAGAAGAGATTTGCCACATTACAAAATGGCTGCTTATAAAGGAGATAAAGATATGAAATTGTAGATGGAGTGTCAAGTACATCTCAAAGGGGTACATTGCATGTGGGCGTCTCAGATTTGATCCTAGGCTCTTCATGGTTCTCTGAGCACCCCCAAGCACTATGGTACGTGACCCCTGAGCACCACTTGGAGTGAGCTCCCCCAAACAAGCAAACAAAAAGACAAACGAATGGGATATCTGATGACCTAGCAAATAAGGAGACAAGCCAACTAGTATCTTATGGATAAGTGAAAACAAGAAAAGATGATGCTGTAGACAAGTGGATCTTCAGTAGGAAAAAGAGATTGAGAGGGAACATTGATTTCAAATAAACTCATTGGACTTTACTCATAAATGATGGAGATTTATTCTCCTATCACAGATGTTTCATGATCTAAAGTAATATTCCCCACTAGGACCCTAACACTGTGACCTCTGATAGGATTTTGTATTATTCAAGGAATTGTTTTATTTGCTAAGGAGACACTTCAAAATACCTGTTTATATTTACTTATATTTCTCTTTTGATAATTTACAGATTTTGGTTCCTTTTATTTTTTTTTTTTTTTAGAAAACTTTCTACCCTCCTTCATGATATCAAGAAGATATTTGAAGCAAGGTGAAATCCTCTCCATCTTATAAAGAATGGCATATTGGTGGGAAAAAGATGCAAACCCCAGTGAATCACCTGTAGAGCAACAATACGAGCACCAAGAATTTCACTCTGCAAATCAGCCCCTTTATCCCAGACAAACAAACCTGGGTTTTGATCAGCTGATAGATGTGCTCAGTCATGAAAGTCCACGCTATCAGTGTGAGCCTGAGAAAAAGATCTTTCCTATGCCCCATTTCCCAAACAGAGACTGGAAAACAAATCCCCTGGATTTGACACACCAAATATTTACAAATGAATTTACTTCTCAAAGCCCAGAATTCGCCTGCCATCAAGCTAGGGAAGCTCCAGTCATTGGTTTTAAGCCTTCGGTGCTGCCAAGTCCTCAAGACATCAATGAAGAGCGCTCTAGAGGAATGCGCACAGGAAAATACTGTGGTGCTGGTGATGACAGATTCAACATGTTTGCTCCATCACTAGCTGGTATGGCTGAAATTAGTACACAGAGAGAACAGGAAAATGCAGGTCAGAGCCATTACATAGGATTTGAAAGTAACATTCCTTCTATGGATCCATCTTTTGCAACTGACTTCATGTCAGAAGAGAATAAAAGGAGTAAAAATATGAATATTATGGATCCTTCACTGGTATTCTCGAAAGAATCCTTTCTACCCAGCTCAAGCAACAGTACACAGCCAGAGAATGTAGAGGTATGTATCATATCTGTTGACCTGAAAAATGGGAATCTGAAAGGATCACTAAATAGTGTGCTGAATTAATTTTGTATTAAGTCTAACTGACCTTAGACAGGAAAATGTATTACTGTTACTTTTGAAAAAAATCATTTATAGTTTATAATTTCCCTATTACTGAATGATTGTTTTGATAAAGGGTTATTTGTATAATATTTTAACGTACCAGTTTCAAGTTTCAATAACGCTATATAAAATGTTATAGCATTTCCATTTTTTTTGTATAAAATATAGCTTGAGATTTAGCTAATAGTATTTTCTTATTGAGTTATTATGCACACACAGAAATACACATGCATTTTATTATGGTTATATTTTGAATCATACTGTCATGATTTAAATCTGTGTATCATTACTGGGAGAAAAAAAACATCTCTTTACCCAGAGACTCCTAAATTATATTGTTGGCAGGCAACTTCTATTGGAATCACTCCAAGAGTAGGAAATTAAGCAATCATTGTGTAATTCATCCTAATGATTTCTTAGTAGTTTTCCAATAATTTCAGTAACAAAGGCTTTCTTGTATAATATTCAAGCATTACTCTGCTTATAGTGAATCTAGACACCAGTGAAACCAGAAATAAATAGTAAAAAAGATGAAATGTTATTGCAGGTGCAATTTAGAGGGTGAGATTAAAGTATTAATCATTTATTCAACAATTATTTCCCATATCCTTTAAACATACATGACATATTATGCATACTGGATGAAAAGAAGAAAAGATGTGAAACCTGCTTTCGAGAATACTGTGTTACTCAGATTAACATGTAAACAAATAATGGCAAAACAGTAAAATGACAACTAAATTGAGTTCAGGTAAAAAGAAATCCCTTGTTCTATTTTTCTTTCTGAGTAGGTAATATTTCAACTTAGATGAATTAAATGTAAAAACAAATTAGCACAGCTATTTCTGATCAGAGCAGTTTAACAAGTCACAAACTTTCCCAGCCAGTGAATACAGCTATGAAGTTAGACCAAGTATATGAAGCAAATTATTTTAGTTCATGAAAAAAAAAGGCACAGTAGAATGTGGATCCTGGGATGCAGATGAATACCAAAATATTGTATCATCATACGGTTTCTTCTTGAGGGCGCTTCCTGCAGCATGGCGGCTAGTGGAGCTCTACTTGGCCAGCATGCCACTTGCTGAGGCAAAGCTTGGAGTTGCAGTCTAGGGAAAACTGTAATTTGAAGGGTAACATGCTAGAGATGATGGAGTTAAATAAAGGCAAGGGTGGGGATCAATGCAAGATTTTCTGCAGATTGTTCTCCACATACTCACACACAAAAACAGAAATTATGCAATGCAGACATTCTGACCCAGCAAGAAGAGAATCTGAGCAAGGTATTTTTAAGCATTCAGAGTCCAGACAGTTCTCTCTCTTTGTGAGAGAGAAAAGGACACTTAAAAGTAAATGCCACAATGACCAAATCGCCTTTATTTAAAAAAAAAATTGATTGGGATCAGGGAGATAGCACAAAAGGCTGGAGTGAATGCTTTGCAGGCAGGAGCCCTGGGTTAGATGCCCAGCAGTACCTAGTCCCCTGACTACTCCCAGGAGATTCCTAAGCACCACGGGGTAGACCCACCCCCAAAATCAACAATCAAAAAAAAGCAAGGCTGACAAGACCACAAAGAATTTTAACTCCCTGCTAGGGAAAAAAAAATGGGCAATGTCTAAAATGCAGTGTAATCATAGTGTTTCATCTGCAAAGTGCATGGATACCAAATGCATAGATGTCAAAAGAAGTGGGGAATTTTTAATCCACAATTAAGAAGCTAAACTGGTCAATAGCAGTTATTTCTAGATATGGGATTAGGAGCTCGGAAGATACTGCAACAGGCTCGAGTGAAGTCTGTGCATGGATAGCTGGGTGTGATCCTTGGAGCTGCATGGCCTCCCCAGCACTATCAGGGCTGACCTCCCCCCACACTGAGCTGGAAGCAGCCCCCCAGCACTCCTGGGTGCTCATTAAGGTAGGGTAGATAGAGTAAAGGACAATGAAAAATTCACCAAGTATTCGCTGGATCTTTCAGCCAGTGTGGCTGGGGCAAATATACCCCACTAGACCGTTCATGTGGTCAGCAAGCTGAGACCATCATTAGTCCCTCGGAGTCCTGTCCACAACCAGCCAAGAACCTCCAGCCAGAGCCAGAGAGATAGTATCATGGGGAGGGCACTTGCCTTGCATGCAGTCAACCTAGATTCAATCCCCAGCATCCCACAGGGTACCTTGAGCACACCAGGAGTGATCCCTGAATTATCCTTAGCCAGGGGTAAGCTCTGAGCATAGCTGGATATGGTCTGAAGATCCCCACCCTCTACCAATAAATAAATTCCCAATCACCCAACATAGCACCCTAATACTAGCTGGACACACCCCTCAGTCAGCCATAGTAAAGGAATCCCTATAACACATCCCCCTGCCCCCCACGGGGCTGGAGCAATAGCACAGTAGGTAGGGCATTTGCCTTGCACACGGCCGACCCAGTTCTATTTCCAGCATCCCATATGGTCCTGTGAGTACCACCAGGAGTAATTCCTGAGTGCAGAACCAGGAGTAACCCTGTGCATTTCCAGGTGTGACCCAAAAACCAAAAAAATAAAAAAATAAAAATAAAAAAACACATCCCCAGGCCCCAAACTACTCTGCTCAGCTAGCTAAGTGGACCAGAGTATTCTTTCTGATTTCAAATAAACTCTTGCTCTTCTCTGCTTTTTGCCTTGTGTGTCACCCTCAGTTTTGAGGAGTGGGCATCTTGGGTAAGAACTGCTAGTATTCAGAGGCTATTCAGTGATCACACCAAGTGGTGCTCAGCAGACCATCTTCTGTGCCAGGAATAGAAACAGATCTGCCCCTTCAAGTCAAGCAGCATAACTAAACCTTTTACTCTCTCACCTAACCTCACTCCAGGATTTGTTCGGTAAGAACCTGGACAGGCCTCAGCCGGGCGATAGTGTGACCCACACCAAATACAATATGATAAGCTTGCCGGAGAGCCCGGCAAGCTTCGGAGAGCCCGGCAAGCTTCGGAGAGCCCGGCAAGCTACCGAGAGTATTCGATATGCCAGACACAGTAACAACAAAGTCTCCAATGGAGACGTTACTGGGCCCGCTCGAGCAAATCGATGATCAACGGGAGGGCCTTTACCTTTACCTTTATTGCTGTTAACAACTTAGCAGCTTGTAAGTGGTTATTGAAAGCATGTCAAAGTATAAAAGCAGTAACTAAACTAAAGAGGAATTTCACAAGCAAGTGAAAAAAATGCAAATGAACTGAAACCATAACTGAATGAAAGAGCCATTAGATTTTCTTAAAAACAAATAAAAGATATTAAGAAAGAAGTAGTAAATTTGAAAGAAAAAAATGAAAGTAAAATAACTTTTCAGGACATGTGCAGAGACTCAGAAGCTTATCAAAGAAAGTGATATTTGGCCAACTTTGGAATAATTATCAAAGAGAGAGGATAGGAAAATTTGTTTAAAAATAGTCTAAAATGGTCTCAACTTTGATAAAGTATATAAAATTACAGACATAAAAATCTCAGAGTACAATAAATAAATATGGATATCATAGACAAATTCTCAAATACCTGAAAATCAAAGGCAAAAAATATCATATAAGAAAGTAGAGGGGGATAAAAGATTTTATGAGAAAAACAACAAGTATTTAATTAAATTTTTCACTGGAAACAATGGAAGCCAGAAAACAATGGCATGGCATTTTTTTAAATTCTATTTTTAAAAAACCATCTATGTTTGTAACTGTAGCTCACAGCGATTCAACAATAAATAAATAAATAAATTAGAAAAAAAATTATTTCGTTTTTGTGCCACACCTGGAAATACTCAGAGCTTAATCCTGACTCTGCCCTCAGGATTCATTCATTTTAAATGGAATAATGACATTACCTTATAAATAAAAGTTGAGGGAAAGTCATCTGTCAGCATTCACAGAAAAAATTCAAAGCAAATGCTTTGGATGCAGTAAAATGACAGCAGATGGAATATAAGTAGTACACAAGAGTGGTATAAATGATAAACATGCTGAAAAATATGAGACTGCTTTTATCATAACTTTTAAAGAAAACTATATGTAACAACAATAGCATTACAGAGTTTATATACAATTAAGAATGGGAGAGTTGTTATTTTGCTATTATACATTTTTACGTCTAAGTGTAGTGGTAGAAACTTGACATCAGTTATATTAAGGATGAGTTTACTAATTTGTTGCTAGTAAAACTTAAAAACCATACAAAGAAGAAAAACTAATACTTCAACACAAGAATTAAAATTAAAAAATTTTTTAAAAATCAGGCATATAAAAGAGAAGACCAAAACAGCAGAAAAATACATAATTTTGCCCACCTATATCCATTGACATCCATAAATTTACTAAGTAAAGGTAAGTAAAGTAAAGGCCCTCCCGTTGATCATCGATTTGCTTGAGCGGGCCCAGTAACGTCTCCATTGGAGACTTTGTTGTTACTGTGTCTGGCATATCGAATACGTCACGGGGAGCTTGCCAGGCTCTGCCGTGCGGGCGAGATACTCTCGGTAGCTTGCCGGACTGTCCGAGAGGGGCGGAGGAATCGAACTCGGGTTGGCCATGTTGGCTGCATGCAAGGCAAACGCCCTACCACTGTGCTATCGCTCCAGCCCAAATTTACTAAGTAAAAGTAAAGTAAAGTAAAGGCCCTCCCGTTGATCGTCGATTTGCTCGAGCGGGCCCAGTAACGTCTCCATTGGAGACTTTGTTGTTACTGTGTCTGGCATATCGAATACTCTCGGTAGCTTGCCGGGCTCTCCGGGAGGGGCGGAGGAATCGAACTCGGGTCGGCCATGTTGGCCGCTTGTAAGGCGAACACCCTACCGCTGTGCTATCGCTCCAGTGACTAATATTTCCTAGTACAAGGTAAAAAATTAGAAGCTACATAAAGAAGATGTAACTAAAATTACACTTAGGTAAGCCATTAAGAAAAGTTATTTGTAAGACATTTAAGGCAAACTTAAGAGCTACCCATGATGTATTCGATATGCCAAAAAAAAAAAAAAGAACAGTAACAACAAGTCTCACAATTTGTTGTGAGACATTACTGGTAACCGTTTGAGCAAACTGATGAACAATGGGAGGACAGTGCTACAGTGCTACATTTAAGAAACAAAGGGACTGGTGGGTTGTTAGCAGAAGAAATAAAAAGCTATAACAATCCAACAATTGAAAGCTAAGTAAAATTATTGGTATGAGAAAAAAGTCTAATTCAAGAGATATTTTTATAGAAGAATGGGTACAGTTAAGTAACAAAAAAGTTAGGGAACATAATATAAATGCAATGTTTACATGCATCAGAATAAATAAAGCAACAATTCTTTAATTATAAATTTTTATTTATTTAAATTTTATTTTTATCATCATGTTTGTCAATTACTTAATCACTTAACTTCCCGTTAGTGGTCGATTTGCTCGAGCGGGCGCCAGTAACGTCTCCATTTGTCCCTGTCGCATGCTAGTGTAGCCCAATGGCATCTGTTCGCTCCGGGCACATGAAGGGCCTCAAACTGATCGTTCATGATCTTGACGAAGAAGTCTGACCATCTGGTGGGTGGGCGGCCACGCGGTCTTTTGACATCCCGTGGAATCCAGTAGGTAACAGCTCTAGTCCACCGGTCGTCTTTAAATCTCAAACCAGCCCATCTGATTTTCGACACCTTGGCAAATGAGACAGCGTCCCTGATTCTTGATCATTGACGGATGTCAGAACTCCGGATTCTTTCTCTCATTTGAGTGAAACGTGATATTCCAAGCATAGCTCTTTCTATTCTTCTTTGGGAGACCTGAATAGCGTTCTCATCTTGTTTGCGTAGGGCCCAGATCTCTGAGGCATATGTTAATGCAAGAGGAACAGTGGAATCAAAGAGATGTGCCCGGAGCCGGAGGTTCTTCATCCTCTTAGCTATTTCTTCAACGTTCTTGAAAGCGTTCCAAGCCGCTCTCTTCCTCCTGCGCAGCTCGGGTGCCAGGTCATTTGTCATGTTGACCTCTCGACCTAGGTACACATAGCTGTTGCATTCGGAGATGGTCATTCCGTTGAGAGCGAATGGGGCATCAGGAACGAGGCTGTTTCTAATAAACATTGTCTTCGTAAGATTCAGCTGTAGTCCTACCTTTCCACATTCACAGTCAAAGTCGGCCAGCATTTGTGCCGCTTGGCTGATGTTTGGTGTTATTAAAACAATGTCATCAGCAAAGTTGGAGGTGGTGTATTTGCCGACCATCTATCTTCACTCCCATTCCTTCCCATTCCAGTCGTCGCATGATGTTCTCGAGGGTGGCACTGAAGAGTTTCGGTGAAATGGTATCACCCTGCCGCACCCCTCTCTTGACATCAACAATCACTTCTTTGTAGAATGGTGAGATCCTGGTAGTGAATCCGCAATACAGCTCATGGAGGATCCTGATGTATTGGGCTTGAATGCCCTGATTGGCTAGGGTTTCAATGACCGCTTCCATCTCAACAGAATCAAAGGCCTTCTTTAAAGCAATGAACGTTAAACAGAGCGGCATCTTGAACTTCTGAGAAACCTCAATGAGCTTGGTTATCGTGTGGATATGGTCGAAAATGATCGTCTGTACTTTCAATGCACGTACGCTAGCATCAGATGCATCCATCAAGGACCTGATGGTACAAGCGCGAATGATCAAGTACGACATCATTGGTCTGACCGAGACAAGAAGGCACAAATCTCACCATGCCGTTTTCGATACTGGAGAAGAATTGTTCCTCGGAACATGCGATAAAAGAGGTGTTGGAGGCATCGGTGTCCTTGTCAACACAAACTTGGCCAAGAGCATTGATTCATTCGAGTGCCTAACAACCCGAATCGGACGTTTACATTTGAATAGATGTGGCACACTGTCCGCAGTTTCTATCTTCGTTGTCTACGCACCAACATCTCATTATGATGAAAGAGAAATCGAGAAGTTCTACATGGAGCTACAGAAGTTCTATAAAGAAGACCACACCTTCTACAAGATCATTGTGGGTGATTTTAATGCCAAGATAGGACCGAGAAGATCAGCTGAAGAACTTCACATCGGGACCCATGGCCTAGAATGGAACGAACAGGGTGAGAGACTATCTGAGTTCATCATGTCGACCAACACCATTCATGGTAACTCACAGTTCCAGAAGGCAGAATCTAAACGATGGACATGGGAGTCTCCCGGTAGACGATTCCACAACGAAATAGACCACATCATATTCAATTGACGGTTTTGCCTGACCGATGTCGCTGTTGTCCCAAAATTTCGAACGGGATCGGACCACCGACTCCTTCGTGCAAAATTCTACTTCACAGAGCGGGGAGAAAGGGCTGCAAAGTTCAAAAAGAGAACTCCCAGAATGATCACCAACTGGGTACTCTTTGGTACTATTGCGGCAACATGGGAAGATGCCATTGTTGACAACATTGACGAGGAATACGATCGGCTGGTTCAGCACCTCCATGAATGTGCGAGGAACGCCAAGAGAGAGATAGCCACAAAAAATCGCCTGTCTTCGAAAACTCTTGAGCTAATTCGCCAGCGTGGTTTGGCGCATGCCTCAGGCAACTGCAAGCTAACGTCTGAGCTCGCAAAGCAGTGCAGAGATGCGATCAAGGAAGACCTCAAAGAGAGAAGAGCAGAAGTACTGGTAGATGCGGCAGAAGCTGGGAAAAGTATTCGTAACGCCCACCTGTCCTTCGCCAACTATAAGACCAAGATGACTGCCCTCCGACGTCCTGATGGATCCATCACATCCTCCAGAACGGCAATGGAGAAGATTATACATGACTTCTACTCAAATCTCTTCCATAGCCATGTCCACTGGCCGACATACCAAATTCCACAGGATGCATATGTCGTTCCCAATGTTCTCCCTTCTGAAATCCGACACGCCATTTCGTCGGTAAAGAAACAAACAGCACCCGGCCCAGACAAGGTCAGACCTGAACACCTGAAGAACCTGCCATCAGTACTCATCAATACACTGGCTCGGCTCTTCACTCACTACCTGTCTGAATGCAAGGTTCCGTCCCAATGGAAAACCAGCAGGACCGTACTACTGTTCAAGAAGGGAGACATCCATGACATTGGCAACTATCGCCCGATCTGCCTATTATCTGTCATCTACAAGTTGTTCACTCGAGTCATCCTAAATAGGATTGGCAGAACACTAGATGAAGGACAACCATGCGAGCAAGCCGGGTTCCGCAAAGGATTCAGCACCATGTTTGTCAATGATGGTTTTTATTTTTTTGCATGCTATGTTCCAACCCCTCTCCCACCATCAGAATTATCTCAGGGTTCCCATCACTTATACTCCCCATCCCCACTGCTGTCTCCATCTTAAAGTTAGTCACATACACACTTGGTAGGACATTTATGGACCTTTCACAGAAATGAATTGCACACTCCTATAAATATTAGAATGGAAGAGTTACTTACAAAAAATATGCACTTTAAGACTTATGGATTTTTTTAACCAGAATGATAGTACTGCAGGCAGGGCACTTGCCTTGGCTTCAGAGGGCCCAGGGCTGGTTCCCAGAGCCAAATATGGTCCCTCAAGCCCAGCCGGGGATAATCCCTGAGCACAGCTGGTATGTTTCAAAAAGAAAGATTTATGTATCTTCCATATTTATTATTTTACTAAAAAATTAAAAGTAGAATGATATTTTTAAATAAGACAAAGTTTATAGATTTCTGTTAATATTTAATATATAGCACTATAGCACTGTCCTTCAGATGTTCATTGACTTGCTCGAGTGGGCACCAGTAACGTCTCCATTGTGAGACTTGTTACTGTTTTTGGCAAATCGAATACGCCACAGGGAGCTTGCCGGGCTCTGCTATGTAGGTGGGATACTCTCAGTAGCTTGCCAGGCTCTCTGAGAGGGATGGAGGAATCGAACCCAGGTCGGCCACATGCAAGGCAAATGCCCTACCTGCTGTGCTAAGCAGACCTGAGCCGCCTGAATACTGCAGCTAGGGATAAGGTAAAGGTAAAGGCCCTCCCGTTGATCGTCGATTTGCTCGAGCGGGCCCAGTAACGTCTCCATTGGAGACTTTGTTGTTACTGTGTCTGGCATATTGAATACTCTCGGTAGCTTGCCGGGCTCTCCGAGAGGGGCGGAGGAATCGAACTCGGGTCGGCCATATTGGCCGCTTGTAAGGCTAACGCCCTACCCGCTGTGCTAGGGATAATATTTTATATGTAACCAAATTATATTAACTTAACATTTTTTTATTTTAAGGTGATAGGTTCCATTCAGCTCATTGAAGTGCCTCAAGGCAGTAATTTGAGTCTGGCCTCCTTCTGCAGTGAAGTAAAAAGGTGAGTCATGTTATTTCATTAAATTATGTGCTTTATGTGCCTGAATAAACGTATCTGTTTTAATAATAATTAATTCTAGCATGTAAAATGTTTTTTAAAAAGAGTTAACATGGTAAAAATACAAATTTATAACCAATTAGTTCACTAATCAGCTTTTATTATATTTTCATTTATTTTAGCCAAAATTAGTTACATTAACAATATTCTCTCAAAAATAAGCTACTCACTGTAAGTAATTAGAAAGCAATGTTAAGACTATACATTCAATGTCTAAGAAGTGATATCTAACCTTTAAGTCTAAGGAATAGCTCTCATTACCATAGGTATCTGTTAATATAAATCCATCGACCATTTACATTAAATATTTGTCCCTTCTGTCACTCACTTTGAAAAACAATTTATTATTCCTAGATAAAATAGTCTTCTAGATCCTCTAAAGACTAAACACTTTAGATATGATATTGATATCATATTAACACTATATTGATATGATACATTTACAATAACAAAAGGTTTGTCAGTAGCTCATGGTGCATTTTGTTTGCTCTTAAGTAAAACAACCATGAGAAATAAAACTACTAGATAATAATAAGCCTTTCAGTAGTGGGAATGTGGTGTTGTAAATAAATGAATAAGAAACCATCACTTAAAATATCAAAATACCAGAATCAGTTTTAAAAAGTTTGAAAAAAATAAGTACTAAGATAAAGATATATAGTTATATTCACAAATATTTTTCTTGGTTTTGAGTATTTTTATTGATAAATCTCATTTTACAGTCAGCAACAAACATTTTAACTATGGCTAGATGCTGTTCAAGGTTCTCAATTCAAAGGATTAGAAATTTAAATCAGAAATTTAAATTAGAATTTAAATGAACATTTAAATTAGAAAACCAACTGTTTTGTGGACAAACAATTCAGCGGGTAAGGTATATGCCTTGTACGTGACCTCCCTGGGCTGGATCCGATGCACCACATATGGTTCCCCCCAAGCTGTACCAGGAGTGATCCCTGAGCACAGAGCTAGGAGTAAACCCTGAACATTGCTTTGTTATCTAACAACAAACAAAAATTTAAAAAAGAAAGAAAGACAAATCAATTTTTTCCAAAATTTCTGGAAAACCAGAGAGACTGACTTTATAGATTCAATGTCACATGTTTTTTCCCTATTTAAGTTATGGTGACTTAATATATGACTACTGGTTCTATAATACGCCCATTGAACAAGCTAACGTACTGAATTTTATTTTTTGTGACATACTTTTTAAAGCCAGGTTTTCCAAGAAATCTGCTTTTGTGAAAATAAACAAACACAACTCCACACACAGTAAGTTGCTTTAAAATATCGAAAATATGTTTTGGCCTACCATGAATGGTCAGCAAAATTTGGGGGAGAAGATGGCATGTATTTGCACTTTTAAGTTAATTTCCAAATAAGGTAGACCCTCAAATCATGTCTGCATATAGTGAGTGGTCTGTGTCATATGGTGAGTGTCAAATCCTATCTCTCTTAAATGCTGATTGGAATCTACACCTACTGTTTAAGGCACCACTGGGATCTTTCTCTTGCACATTGGTTCTCAAAATGCAGTTCCTTAACAGCAGGGAAATTTTAGGAGATAAAATCCTGCACAAAGTTCCTGCGTGAGGAACTTTATGAAAGGAGAGCCACAGAACAATATGATTCTGATGTATGCCAGACCACGGATGAATGTGCAAGTTTACATTTTTTTAGGCCCCTGAAGGAGGGGCCTTCCTTGGAATTTAAGGGTATAGCAACAGCTATTTCAATGCATCTGACAGTTATTTTAATGTTCCACAAATAAAACAAATGCCAGGGATATAAAGTATATTGATGGTGCACATAAAATGTGTAAGAATTCATTTTGTAATTAAATTTCAATTTTCAGATGCTTCCTTCATTAACATAAAACCAAGATTTCATATTTGAAGGTGCCAAAATCAGACCTCCATCAAATTCTCAGAATGGGTCTTAAAATGCTTCACTCTCATATGCTGAGTATTTTGGTCAGAAAGTACTTCAATGATGTGTGCATGAAACTAGTACTATTGCTATTAATTGTAAATCACAATAAATAAGATTTAAAAAGCAAAGCAAAGAAATTTTTTAAAAACCTAGCCTCTGGGCGAAAAACTCTGGTCCTTGCTTTTGCTCTCTACCCTCTTAATTAAAGGGACCTTTGTTCTCAAGCCTTGCTTTTTCCTAATCTAAAAACCAATCACTATAGATTCTATGAACTAAAAGAATCAATCTTGAAAAAGTAGCCCACAGGTTATATATGGAAGGTATGAGTAAATCTGTCTGTACGTCTTCATTCGAGAATCATCTCCTTCATCTTGTCATGTGGAAGATCTCCCTCCTGTTTTCTTAATATCTCAGTTCCCCCAACCAGGAATTCATATCCCTCTTCTCTTTCATATGATTGGATTCTGCAGAGTCACTGTAGTTCCCCTATGCATGTTATTAAATTGATTTTTCCTTCTTAAACCCATCTTGTATTGTTTAGATTACTTGTCCATACCAATAAGAATCTAGAAGGATAGGAAATTTCTCCCCTGCATCCCAATTTATTTCTCATCAGGAGCATTTTAACTATGTAATTTCAAATAATATTGCTACATTTTAAATGTGGTAATAAAACATGAATTGGCAAGGATTAGCTATGATAATAATATACAATGATATTATGATACATTCCTTGTCTGAGTAAGTCGTTTTAGATTCTGCAAAAGTATTTCACATGCCTTTTTACTTTAGAAAAAACTTTAAGTATATATATTCACTTTTTGCAGACAAAGGAACTGTCCAAATACTTTGCTTCTAACCATAAAATAATCATTGGAAGAGGTAGGATTCAAGCTTAAACTCCAAGGACAGAAGCTCCACGACTTCTGACTCCAAGAACAAACTATTTTACAATTCTCTATTCACTGAAGCAATAAGTAACCATTTGCAATGTACACATGGATTCTAAGCTCAATTATTTATGGAAAATCAAAAACTCTGTGTATAATGTAAAACTAAGGAAAATGGATAATGGAGATTTATCACTACAGAATATCTGCCAATTTGACACAAACAAGAGTGTTTCTTTTCAAACTTTTGAATTAGGATGAGTGACTTCCCCTTAAGAACATTAGATATGAGAAAAATACCCAGGGGAGGTGCTGAGATTTCAGAAATAACCTCATTGAAACAAGGGACTATTCAGGGTGAATTTTGTATTTCATAATGACAGTATAGTTTTGATTCAAATGAGATGCACTGGAGGAAACCTAGTGAGAAGTCCTTTGAAATTATTTTTGATTTGATTATCGTTACCAAACGACCCTGCTGATAGTACCACACCACAAACCAACTGCTGTTTCCATATTTTCAATTGTGTCTAATAAAATACAGAACACACATGAACTTTTTTTTTTATTATTATCTTAGCCTGTATTTTTTCAAATGTTTTTCAGAATAAGAGAAATGTATCATGCAGCTGACATTGGTTCTAATTCAGGAAAAATCTGGAGTACTACAACCACATCTCCGCATCAGCTCTTTTGTAATACTAAGTTTCATATACAGGTTTTCACTGATACTTCAACAGAATTACTTAATTTAATGCCAGATGGTAAGTAACCGTACATATATAATAGCTTATGTAAGGCTACCTAAAAATTTAGGAGATCATGTGGTTATTTAAGATTAAAGAATTGCAATTTGGAATACACAAATTTAAAAAAGATATTATGCACTCTTCTAAAGGGGAAAACAAGGTGGGGGATTTTCTGATGAGAAAAGAGGAAAATTAGGTAAGCTGTTCAGAAGTTGATTGGTGTTAGTAGTGAAACAAACTTTTCTTAGCATATGCAGAATGCATTGTGCATTTTATACCTTAAAATAATCATTGTTCCCCTTCCCAAAGATGACATCTGATGTAAGAGTTCTTAAAACAATTGCTTTTAACTTGTCCAAAGATTTGGGGGTGTTTCATTCAAACAAGACAGTTTCTCTGCTATGGCGAACAGGGGCTCCATTTTAAAACAGCTTCACAAATGGTTCCAGTGTCAACTTTTCACTGATGAATTTCTGTTCTCAAAGGGAAATAATTGAAAGAAGCCATTAGCTAGCACTCTGTCATGAAGAAAAATAAGAAGAAAACAGCTGGAAGCTTTTTGTTAATATTTGTTTAGCTATTGTTTTCAAGAACTCTTCTCATATTCACGCCAGGATACCTATTTTCCTGCAAAATCCTTAATGGCAAATTTTTTAGCTTATTAAAAAAAACATTGAATTTAAACATCTACATTGCCTATGTAAGTGAAATTAACTGTTTCTGTCCTTTAGAAACAATTTGTCTTTGGAAGGTAAGTAAGCAGTGAGGTAGGGCAGGATCTGCCACTAGGTTTTTGGAATCACAGTAAACTCAAAGGAGTTTCATCCAACACAACCAACAGATTTATTGAACCAGTTCCCAGATGGATCCTCCAAATATGTATCTCACTGGAATCGCCTGATGATCTTTATTGCACTAACATATTAGCATCACTTTAAACTTAATTATCATTGTATTTCACTGTTTTGATCAAATAATTAGAAAAACAGGACAGACTCCTTTTGGTCTCCTTTTGGAACCAGCTCTGGCCTGGCTGAAGGGTGAGACCAGAAAGGTTGGATTCTCCTTCCTCATGAATGAAACATTCTGTGACAGTTCCAGAAAGAGTTTGATTAGCAATAAGCAAGCAGGTTGGAAGATGTCAGGCACATGTCCTCAAAGCAAAAATACTGTTTAAATGGTCACAAGAAGAGGATTTTGCAGAGAAAAAAACAGGGAAGCATTGTTGGAAGCTAAGGGTTTGGGGCAAGGGTAAACTGAGCACAAATTCCTTTCATTTTTAGTTTCTGGGACAGGACAGTATCCTTGTCCAATACTGCTTTGGGCTTGATTTTAGAACGCTCAGCAGTGGCAGGGATGGAACCCAGACCCGCCCACATGTAAAGCAGGAAAATAAGCCATTTTCCAAGTCCAGTATTTGTTTTTTAAATAACACAGCAACTGTTGCTTCCTGCCACAATATACTGTGATATTTTCTTCCATTGACTACATTACTATTACAATCATTTCTTACTCTGGTCACAGCTCTGAATTAGTACAGATGACTCAGATGACTCTAAGCAGAGCAATTCTATATCGGAAAAATCTGAAGCACCATCTGGTTTGAAAGTAATAAAGAAAAAAAAACAACCCCTGCTGGCTTAATCAGGAAAGAGAATGTTTTTTTGTTTTTTGTTTTTTTTTTAATATAGGGATTTCTTATAAAATTCAAAAGCAGGGTTGCAGCAAAGATTTAGGAATGTACTAAAAACACAGATGAACAAGAAGCCCAAAATTCCTCTATTTCTCTCACTTCATCTCCTGTCTTTATAATTGCTTCCCAAGTTTCTCTTGCTGGCGGCTGACTCATTTCCCCGACTTTTTCAGAACACATGGAAAACCAAGCTCACAAGATCATAAACCATTTGACCATTTACCTACAAAAAGTTCAATCTCTACAGTAAATCAGTTTTAAATTTCTAAAGCAGGATTCTAATTGCCCAGCTAAAGTCAGTCTTGCGCAGTGCTTTGATCCAATCGGCCTGACCTGGGGGCTGAATAGTGTTGGTTACAGTTACTGGGTAACAAGGCATCTTCACCCAACTAGAAAGAACAATTCTGTTCTTCCTGCTTAAAATATTTTATTCCCATTATCTTGTTCTGAATGTCCCTTTGTACAATCTGGCAAACAAGAGCGCGTTTTTCTCCTTCTTTGTTATTTCTGTGAAGCAACTAAATTTTGTGTGTGAGATGTCTATTACAAAAATTTTCTGTGACTTCAAAGATATTAAGTAATTATAAGAAGGAAGAGAAAGTAATGGAAAAGGAGGGAGAAGAGAGCCAAAGAAAGAGTATGTTTATGAAATGTTTAGTATATAAAAATATACTTCTATGATTGGAAAGAAACTTTTCTCTACCCTCTTCAATTTCAATTTGGGAAGTGAAGGCAAACAGACATTAAACAGATGAAGAGGAAAAAGAGAAAGAATTATTTTCCCACTTGCAACCAGGAAATATTTAATGAGGATTAAGGAACTTCTCAGTACCTAGAGGTAAAGATTTTAGATACTAAATGTAAAATTGTGGATTCTAGGGATAGCTTGTTTAAAGCTTCAGTAGAAAAGTCTGGAGGATTATATTGGAGATTTGGAGGAAGGGTTATATTGTGTTGCAATTGTTTTGTTCTTATGCCAAAGGTCAACAGTCTGTATCCTTTCAGGAAGTTGCAGAGAATTCCATCAGAAAGAAGTTATTCACGGCCGTATTTTACAGAGTATCTGCTTTAGTGAGATAAGGAAAATTCAAATAAGATTTTAAATCCCTTCCATTTAAAGTATCTAAATAATCTCTATGTCGAACTTGTATATGATACCTTCAACACTTTGGTGCTTTATTGGTAACACAGGTTTGCTCCATAAAACAAAAGTCTATCGTGAATGACTTTGATACCAAGTTGTTGCTAGGAAAAGCATAATGAAATAATTATTAAAAGTAAGATTCATAGGGCTAGAGATATAATACAAGGGATAGGGTATGTGCCTTGAACTCAGCCTCCCATGTTCAATGTGTGACAGCACCTATGGTCTCTTGAGCGTGATTCAGAGTGATCCTTATGCATAGCGTTGGAGACCCTACACCCCGTCCCCCAAATTTACTTTCTGTGGCCCTACACCCCCTCCCCCAAATTCACAAAGTGGAGTAATGAGGAGGAGACTGGAAAGTTTTTGTCCAAAGAAAATTCATTTCTCCAACAGTAAGAAATGGAATCCTTCTAAAGAAAGTCTCTTGAAAAAAGAATTTCACTCTCTTTAGTTTTCAAGTCAATAAAGGTAAAGGTAAAGGCCCTCCCGTTGATCGTCGATTTGCTCGAGCGGGCCCAGTAACGTCTCCATTGGAGACTTTGTTGTTACTGTGTCTGGCATATCGAATACTCTCAGTAGCTTGCCAGGCTCTCTGAGAGGGGCGGAGGAATCGAACTCGGGTCGGCCGCGTGTAAGGCGAACGCCCTACCCGCTGTGCTATCGCTCCAGCACCAGCATTCAAGTCAATAAAACTGATATTTCAATCCTTAATTCAAACTCCAATGTTTCACTTCTGCCAGTCTTTAATTTTAATTACTTTTCATACATAAAAAAATGTGTGGTCAACAACACCCAAAAGGAGAGAGAGATCACAGGGGATTGCCCTGCCACAGAGACAGGGGGGATGGGGGGATGGGGGTGGGAGGGATATTATCCATGGTGGTGGAAAATGGGCACTGGTGGAGGGATGGGTATCTGATCATTGTATAATTGAAACCCAAGCACAAAAAGTTGTAAATATACAACTGTAAAAAAAAATAATAAAATAAAATAAAATAAAGGGAAAAAAATGTGGTCAAATATTTATCAGGTAATTTTGTGATTGCAAAGTGTTGGAAGTAGAGGTCCAGGTTCATTTGCTAAGATTAAGGGGTAATTCTGTAGCTCTGAGACACGTTGATAGAAATTCACTTATCTTTTAAAGAGGGTTTTTAAAAAGCAGGATGTTTTAAAAGGGCTATGATGGAAATAGATAGGTACCAAGATGATGAATAAATTCACTCATGGGTCGATCAGTTAGTTCACTCATGACTCTGAGGCCCACTTCCAATGTTACTGCAAATAAACATTTCTGATTCAAATACATGCCTTCTTATTCTTTAGGAAAAATAGGAGGAACATTCTCAACCATCTCTAAGAAGACAGCTTTTTTGCCTTTTAATATTGAATTCAACTCTGAATTTATGGGCCAATATCACAGAGAATTACATTTTTAGAAGGAATTGGTTGCAGAGCAGGGTTCCTGGGTAATCCACAAACTTCTCTGTGGGCAAGTCCTTTAAGGTATCTGCAGGGTGAATAAAACTCAGGCAAAGACATTAGCCTTCCAGAGTTCTGCCTGGTTCCATCCCCATCACTGCAGTGTGCCCTCAGCACCATTGGGAACAACCCCCAAGCACAGAGCCAGGTAGAAGCATCCCCCAAGAATGGTTCAAATACACATTAAAAAAAGAAGATTTGGGGGCCAGAACAATAGTACAGCAGGGAGGGCATTTGCCTTGCATGCAGCCAACCCCGCTTGCATCCCCACCCCCAGCATTCCATATGGTCCCTCAAACACTGCCAGGCTAAATTTCTGAATGCAGAGCCAGTAGTCACCCCAGAGCATCACCAGGTGCAACCCAAAAAACAAAAACAAAACAAAACAAAACAAAAAATCCCACCAGATTTCTAAGAAAGTTCCAACCAAGCCCTAGCTTTCTTTCAATAGGCTTGTCAGAGAAGGTGAAAAGGACAGAAATATTCTTTTCATGCTCAACAACTGCTGCTCAGAACAGGATGCTGACTTTAAAAATTTGAATCTCCGGGAGGCTGGAGCAATAGCACAAAGGGTAGGGTGTTTGCCTTGCAAGCGGGCCAACCCAGATTCGCTTCCCAGCATCCCATATGGTCCCCCGAGCACTGCCAGGAGTAATTCCTGAGTGCATGAGCCAGGAGTAACCCCTGTGCATCGCCGGGTGTGAGCCAAAAAAAAAAAAATTGAATACAGCTCTTAACGTCTTTTGAACCAGTTTCCCTTAGATCTCAGAAGTTAAAAGGTGGGAGGTTGGGTGGGGGGGGAGGGCGGCTAGAGCTATAGCATAGCCGGCAGCGGGTAGGGCATGGTCTACCCGGGTTCAATTCCCAGCATCTTATATGGTCCCCCTGAACACTGCCAGGAGTAATTCCTGAGTGCAGAGTCAGGGGTAAACCCTATGCATTGCCCCGCAAAAAAAAAAAAAAAAAAAACAAAAAAAAAAGTCCAGGGATCCCCAGAGTCTGCCTGGGAGGGCAACCCAATAAACTTATCCTATTTCTTAACTTCTGTCTGTCCCTCTGTCTGTGCTATCAGGTCTTTCAATCCCCATAAGCATGGGTGCTTTTGACTATACTGATCATCTTTGTATATTTTTGAGTATACTGATCATCTTTGTCAACATTTCTAATGTTAGTGTCTAACTAAATTCCTAAAGGAATTATTTTTATTAATAACAGTAAGAAATGAGAAAATTGGATGGAAGACGTGAAGTAATGTACCCACTCTTTCAAGATCTCAGGAGCAGAGTATCAAAAACACATGTACTTATCAGCTGTAGAATGAATCATCTAAATATCCTGGATTGATTTTATATGTAATCTAGCAGAGTATTTTAGAAAATGTTTTTCTTCACAATTAATTCAGAATCTTTTTATTGTAACAGTAACTTTGGACTTTGGCATTCACCAAGTCCCTGTGGGTATCTAGTGGCATTTTTTTTGGCAGAAATACAATATATCATTTTTTTTAACTTGGTGAACGTGAAACCAGGCTTTATTATGTTAAACGCAGACAAAACTGATTAAAAAATGCAAAATGATACTTTCCAAAAGTCCTTCCAAATCCAAATAGTTTACTATAACTTCATTGCAGCTAATTTTAATTCATGTTCGAATTAGATGTTTTACTCATCATAATATTTGTACAACATTTTTACTCTACAAACATTTTCTTGGCCAGTTTATGAAACGTTCTTGTTAACTTTTTATTATTCATCTTTGTTTTCAGCTAATTATCTAGTTAAAGACCTAATAACAGAAATTCTACATTTTTATGCAAATGAGCAGTTATTCCATGAGGATCACCTTCTCAGCATATGTGGCTATGAAGAATTTTTGCAAAAGTAAGTATTTTATTAAGGTAAATTTTTTTTATTGTTGTACTTCCATTAAGGTGACTTGGTTTGGCTAGGACTTTCTTCATTTAGTTTGCTTTGTTTTGATTGCTTTTGGAGACCACACCTAACAGAGCCCAGGCTTATATAAGGCTCTGAGTTCAGTGATATTCCTGGTGGTCCTCAGGTGACCATTTGGGTGCAAGATATTGAACCCATGTGAGCTTTGTGAAAAGCAAATGATTTACCCTCTTTATTATCTCCGCAACTCCTGACTCATATTTCTATAGTTTTAAAATGGAAAAATCCCATGTCCTGGGATCCAGTTCTGGTAAAACTGAGATGGTTAGTCACATGGCACATAAATACATGCTTATTGTAAATATAAAAAATACAAAATGAAGCCAAGAATAGAACTATCAATACAATTCCAAGCTTATCTTAAAAGGGGAGAAATTGAATTATGTGAGCTGAAAGAATATATTTGCACTAAGTCTACTTAAAAGAATCAAATGAAAATGCCACTTAATGTAAGTACAACAATAAAAAAAATTTACCTTAATAAAAATGAGTCAGAAAGAGCGGGATAGACACAGAAAGATTGCATTCATCTGGGGAACATAAAGCAACAAAATGGGAGACTAACAGCCAGGAGTGGCTGAGATTAGTTCTAGGAGGATTACTCCATAGTTTAGAGGCCAGCCGGGCATTCTGAGGGAAAGGGCAGCTCAGATAGAGAAGGGAGCACCAAATGAAGGGTGTTGGGAGGGTCCTCCCAGGATGGGAGATGCATACTGAAAGCAGATTATCAACTGAACATGATGGCCACTCAGTGCCTCTTTTGCAGACCACAACACCCAAAAGGAGAGAGAGAAAACAAAAGGGAATGCCCTGCCACAGAAGCAGGGTGGGATGGGGGCATGGTGGTGGGAGGGATATTGGGATCCATGGTGGTGGAAAATGGGCACTGGTGGATGGATGTCGTATTTGATCATTGTATAATCGAAACCCAAGCACAAAGATTTGTAAGTCTACAACTGTACCTCCTGGTTTTTCACTAATAAAAATTAATTAAAAAAAGACTGGAATCTAAGAAAATCCAGGACAATAGTTATTACAGTACACAATTGTGGTACAGTCTAGTTGTTTTGTTTAGCATCTGGGCTACAGTCAGCAGTGCTGAGTCTCCTCCCTGCTCCCTACTTTAGGTAACTCCTAGCGGTACTAGGTGCTGGATGCTGGGGAGGGCTACACAATGCTAGAGATTGAACCCAGATCTCTGGCACACAAAGCTCACACTAGACCTCTGCGCTCTCTCCGAATAAGTTCTCTCAATTGATATGCTTGCAAAGTAACTTTGCAAAAATACTTTTAATTAGGTGACTAAGACTTGATTATGAAAATATATTCATACTCATACACATCTTTTTATTTAAAAAGTCAGCCTGTAATCAACATACTAATATTATTTCAAATAAAATATTTATCGCAGTTTTTTTTGGGGGGTTATTGGTTCTGATAACCATACTATATGGATCTCAGATGTTAAAATTTGAGTCTCTTAATTTCAGTGTTATTGATTCCATGGTTTGGATATTTGGGTCTATCATGACTTAATGCCACCTTTGTACCTTAATTCTCTGACCTGGCCCCTGTGGATTTTTATCTGTCTCTCCTCTCCCTCCCCTCCATTCTCCTTTCCTTCTCCTCCCTATACTCTGGGGCCAAGGTTCATCTGGGCATCCTCCCGCTTCTTTAAAACATGCATTGCCTCGTCCAGTTATTTATTCTAAATACCACATAAAAGTGATATCCTGTGTTTATCCTTTTTTTTCTTACTTCACTTAACATTATGTTTTCCAGCTCAATACAAGTTGCTGTGATTTGAATGATTTCATCATTCCTTACAGCTGTTTACTATTGTATTGTCAATAGACCAGGTCTTCATGATCCACTTATCTGTCATTGGACCTCTAAGTTGATTCCAAATCTTAGCTATTGCATGAGTGCTCCAATGAGTCATGGTGTGTATATGTTATTCTGAATGAATGTTTTTGTTTTCTGTCCTGAGAATAGATATTCAAAAGTGGAATTGCTGGATGATTTGGGGTCTCAATTCTGAGTTTACTGAGTACCCTTCATACTGTTTTCCATAGGGGTTGGACCAGACAACTTCCCACCAGCAGTGGATAAAGGTTTCTTTTAACCACATCCCTGTCTACAGAGACAATTTTCATTATTTTGGATATGTGCCCATCTTAAATATGTCTGTTCATTTCTTCTCCCCATTATTTGATGGGATTTTTAAGATTTTTCTTTCATTTTTCTTTTGCTGATCTTTGTGAATATTTTATAGATTCTGGTTATCAACCCTTTAACCGATGTGTTGAGTGTAAATATTTTCTCCCACTCAGCTCTCATTTAGTTTTAGCCCAAGTTTATTTTGCCATGCAGAAACTGTTAAGTTTGTCATAGTCCCATTTGTTTAGTTTTGATTCTATAGCCGTTGCAACGGCATTGAAACACTGAAGAATCAATATTAAGTTCTAGGTCTTGAAGCTTCTGCCTATATTTTCCTCAATGTATTTTATCAATTCAAGTCTAATAACAAGGTCTTTGATCCACTTTGAGCTGATTTTTGTGTAAGATGTGAGATGTAGATCCACCTATAATTTCTTGCATGGGCTTATCTAATTCTCCCAGTACCATTTATTGAGAAAGCCATCTTTATTCCATTTCCGCTCTTTTGTCAAAAATTAGCTGACCATATATATGGAGTTTTTCCTTCGGTATTCTATTTTAGGTCGTTGGTCAGAGACTCTTTCTTTACTCCAGTACAAGTCTGTTTTGATCACAATCGTTTTGAATTATAGATTCAAGAATTATAGATTCAAGTTAGGTAGTGAGATGCTTCCCAGTTTCTTGTTTTTCAGTATGGTTTTGGCTAGGGGTGGGGTGGGGGTAAGGGTCCTTTTATGATTCCACACAAACTTTATAATTGTTCTAAGTACTTGAAGAATATAGTAGTTTAGAAAGATGGTTATTTTGACAATATTGATTTCTTTCAATCCATGAGCATGAAATGTTTTTCCATTTCCTAAGATCTTCCTCAAAATAGGCGTGTGTTACTATGAATTTCTCCCTACTGCTTTTTCTGTAACCCATCGATTTTGGTAGCTTGTTTCTTCATTTTCACTAGTCTCAAAGAATTTTTTTATTTCTTCCTTGATTTTGTTTAGATAAAGCATAAAATTAGCAGCATAGTCTTCAGTCTCCAGGTGTTACAATTTCTCCCCATCTTCTTTTTATGGCTAATTTCTATCTCTGTGGCATTGTGGCCTGGTGAGGTGCTTGGTATGATTTTGTGATTGTGAATTTATGTCAGTTAGACCTAGTTCCTAAAATGCAATCTATCGTGGAGAATGCATATTTGGAGACGTGAAGAAGCATGCCCTGGAGAAGTATGTGCATTTGGTTTTTTGAGGATAAAAGACCCTGTATAAATCCATTAGTCCCAGTTCTTCTAGTTACTTATTTAAGGTACTTATTCCTTTACTGATATCCTATCTGGTGGATCTATCCTGTGAAATAGTGGGGTACTGAAATCTACCTCTACTATATGTTTTTATTCATGTGTTTCTGTTGGTTTGTGAGCAAAATCCTTACAAACTTTGTTGACCCAACATTTTGTGCATATATGTTGTTTAGAATTTGTATTTCTTCATCTATTATTTCCTTGATCAATAAGTAGTGCCCATCCCTGTCTCTAATTATTTTCTTTAGATTGAATGCAATGAGGTCTGATGTAAGTATGGCTGTCCCAGCTTTTCTGTTTTTTTTTTTTTCCATTGGCTTGTATAATAGATTTCCATCCTCTTACTCCAAGCTCATGTCTATTCTGTGATTTTTAGATGTGTTTCCTATAAAGCAGCAAATGGATGGATGTTTTCTGATCCAGCCTGCCACACCATGCCTTTTGAAGAGAGAGTTTTTCGTTCATTGACATTCAGGGATATTATTGACATAAAAGGCTGTGTTGCCATTTTACTGTACAGGATTGTGGCTTCTAGAATTGGTTATTTTGTTTATCTAAGTGACCTTTCAGTAGTTCATTCAGGGTCATTTTTTTTATCACAAATGTCACCAGCTCTTATTTGTCAGAAAATGATTACTTCCCTCCCTCCATCTAAATGAAAGATTTGATGGGTAGTGAGTCCACTACCCATCACATTAGGTTGAAAATTTCTTTCATTCAGTAATTTGAATATGTTGTTTACTCTTTTCTTGCCTTTAATGTTTCTTATGGGAGAACTAGATCCATTGTGACTCTTCTGTTATTTCCCTTATATTTAAGGTTTTACTTTTTTCTTTCTGTTTTAAGAAGTTTATTTCTTAGGTTTTTGCCAGTTGGATTACTGTGCTTTGGTATTGTTCTGTCTGGGTCTATTTTACCTGGTACTCTTTTGGCTTCTCAAATTTGAGCAGCTGCCTCCCACAGAGAATGGGAAAATTCTCAGCTATTATCTCTCTTACCACTCTCTCTTCTCCTTTCCCTTTTCCTCACCTTCTGGTGTTCCTATCATTCAGAGGTTATTCTTCATGTCTTTGTTCATTAAGCATCTTATATTTTCTTCCATTATTTGATTTCTCTTTTCCTTTTAGACTTCTCTATCAATGCTGGCCTGTACTTTGTCTTCAGTTCCTCTAGATGGTTCTTCCCTTGTGAGATTCTGCTACTAATGATTACTAGTGTATTCTTCAGTTCCTTCATTTTCATTTGTATGGCATCACTCATTTTCTGAAAAAGTTTTTTGAGTTGATTCCATTTCCTATCTAGTGATTCCTTAATTTCACTGGCAAGTGCTTGCTTAATCTCTGTTGTCAGTGCTGTGAGTGTTGAGTTAGGTCCTTATGCAGAGGCTCAAGTGTTTTAGTGGGCTTAGGGACTTCACTTGGTTTCTAGCCCTACACCAAAATCTGTGACTACAGCTGAATTTCTTAGGGTCCCC